TGGGCGGGGGGGGGGGGGGGGGGGGGGGGGGGGGTAAGCAAGGCATAACCTCAAAGTGGAAATCACCACCCACCAAATTTACCTTTCTCCCACAACAGTTACTTTCATGGTATTCCTCCAGTGACAACCCATGCCCATGTGTTTATTTCTGCTCTCAACCGTACTTTCAAGCCCTCCAATGGCTGGTGCCATGGCTAATCACATGTGCAGCACCATGGCTGTAAAGGATAGGTGGTATAGTTACACTTTAAGACAGGGAAGTCAAGTGTTACTTTCTTTACACTGGCTGACAGCTTTACTATATGACAATCTACTTTCTCAGTCTTTCCCATTACATAGAGGTGCTAGAAGCCCACAAGTGTCTTGGACTACTTTGTATAAAACACATCAATTTAGTGGTCTCAGGACAATGGGAGTCTGATAGATGGGATACCAGGGCATAGACTATGTATAGGAGACAAAACCCTGGCCCGCGATCAGTGTAGAATAAATATTTTGTCAGGTTTTCATTGCCAGGCTCTTCAGCATAGTGCTTTCAGCTCCAAATATAACGTGTCCTTTACCTGCAAAATATGCCTAACACGCAATACATCCAATGCCTGAACCTATAAATTATGTAAACTTTAACAATTAACTTCCTTTATTTGCTTCATTTGGTCCGTTACATATGTTATTGATCTCACCTGATCTAAGCCTTAGCACTAACCCTTTCTTCAGCATACTCACCTTTTCCTGTGTCTAGAGCAGGGGTGGGCAAACTCCAGCCCACCAGCTCTTGTGGAACTACAAATCCCATGAGACATGGCAAAATGTTCACAACCACCGGCATGACTCCTAGAGACAGATGCATGATGGGATTTGTAGTTTTACCACAGCAACCTCGGCACTCCAGCTTTGGTAACACTACAAATCCCATCATGCATCTGCCCCTGGGAGTCATGCCTGTGGCTGTCCGTCTTGTAATACCTAATGGGGTTTATAGTTAAATCACAGCTGGAGCCCCGATGTTTCCTACCCCTGGTCTAGAGCCTTGGCACCAAATCCACACAGGTCCTGTATCCAATCTTCACAGCTCTGATCGCATAGCACACCAAAATAGAGTATTCCCATAATCAAGTTGTCTGTCTACAAGAATGACCCCTTTATAGAAGCATGGGAACCTCTGACAGATCTGGGATGTTGGTGATTTAAAGCAGCAGTGGGTACCCAAAGCTGAATGTAATGTAAAGCAGATCTTCGTAAATGATGAAAGGCCAAAGGAAGCTCATTTGAATATAAATGATGAAGTATGTTCTATATGGTTTGTATAATATATCTTGATTATTTCTATATATATAACAATATAAACATAAAAACATGTAAGCATCCTGTTAAGAGGCTCTCCCAGGAGGAAATTCAATCAAAAACAGAAAAGAAAAATATTCATAACTTCTTCTTAAAACAACCACCATAAATCTCCCATTAGCATTGCAACCATGCTTCCCCCCTAAGGGTCTCAACAAAAAAAAAAAACTCCTTCAGGCCCCAAGCAAATGCTCTTTGGTTGGAATATAGAATTTCTTGCTTTTTTTGTTTCTTTTTTTTAACAGTTGCGATAAGAATATGGAGCAGAACTATGTTCATTGAGCTGTGTTGATCTGCATAGATGCTTGACTTGATGCAAGGGCACATAGATAACAATTGTTTTTTTCTGTGCTCTATTCACAGTACGCTGCACTGAAGTGTATTGCGGTGCATTGCTTAGAATATGCAGCATGTCATGTTTAATCATAACGAATTAAATGTTAAATGATGCATAGTAGTGATGCATTGCACCACTCCCCTACACTCCCATGATGGACTACAGTCTCATGTTTAGTTTACTAATTTGTATTGAGGTTGTAGTCCATCACAGGAGCGATCTTGGAGCGGTGGCTACTTTACAACACACACAGGGACCATGGGGAACAAAAGTAGCCACCCTCCAGAAGGAAGGACAGTGTCAGCACCAATTCAGAGATGATTTGAGCATCTACAGCCGAGTGATACACAAATAAGATACATTTTTGGTAAAAGTTAATGTACTTGAATGCATTTTTAAGATTTAACTCCTGAGTTTAGTGTCACTTTAAGGATTGTTTTTAATAACTTGTTTCCAATAAAGTAATCCTTATTTTTCTTTTCCTACAGAATTTGCAATGTACAAATCTCTGCCCTATCAGTCTCTGTCTGTGGACACCTTCACCTATATGAATGACGAGTATGTTGTCATCGCTCAACCCTTCACGGGGAAATGTGTTTTCTTGGAATGGGACCATGTTGAAATGACTTTCAGAAACTATGACAACATCACCGGTGAGAGCTTTGAAGACCTTAGTGATCAGATTACACTGCATATGACTTGTCGAACACAGTTATAGTGCATCTGAAGCCAAACCTTTTTTTTTTTTTAAAGTTTTGGATAGAGTGGAGAGGGATTAGAACACCTGTCAGGTTTATACTGCTGTCTGTGTCCCCATTAGGGACATTCAACCTCCATATTTGTCCTGGTGACCGTTATCACCTAAAGTGAAAGAAAATCCCAACTGTTGGGTTGTCAGCAGAACAGGAATATATAGGAAATATATACGTGAAATATATATGGGAAAACGTTAAGTGAGGTGACTAGTTTTGGTGACCCTGCTGACCAGGGATTTTCCTCAATTTGGAGGGATTTGCTGTGACTTTCTTTACTCTAGCCAAAAAAAAGTATTGGCTTCAGTTCTACTCCACACTGGCCATACATTTTCATATGAATGTTCATACAAAAAATCTGCTCAGAACATTCAAAGATGCCATCAGAGACCTGACAAATGCTGTTCGACATTTTGTTCGATTTTAACATTCAATTTTTTAGATAAATGCAGTTTCCCGAACGAAAACCACATTGTTAGAATTTTGTTTGAGAAAAAAGTTCCATCCTGCTCCTTTGATTTTTTTTTTTTTTTTTGACATGATGGTTGAAAAAAATCATCAATTTGATCCCTTCCAGAAAATCAGGAAGCCGGACGGCAAGTTGTTACCCGCCCCCTGGCATCCTGATTGGCCAGAAAGCTGGCTCCATGCTTCCTCGTCACCTAGTGGCCAATCAGGAAGCCGGGCAGCATGTAATGACTCGCCGCCCAGCTTCTTGATTGGTCGGGAAGCTGGCCAATCAGGAAGTCGGGCAGCGAGTCATTACCCACCCCCCGGCTTCCTGATTGGCCATAAAGCCAGCTTCCATGCTTCCTCCATGCGTCCTCATCACCTGGTGACAAGGAAGCATGGAGACAGCTTCTCAGCTAATCAGGAAGCAGGGCGGCAAGTCATTGCATGCCGCCTGGCTTTCTTCATGGGACTTCCGGTATGGGTATTTGGTATTGGCAGGTGCAAAAAAAGAATTATCAGTACTCGATACCGAAAAACCATCCCTACTAATAACCTCAAATTGTATACATTCCTGTTACAGTAGATGTGCAATGTTTTTAAATATAACTGTGCAGTCTAATAGGCACCAGAGGCAGACCAAGTGCACGCAGCAGCAGAACTGGTCTTACACGCCTTCTCTCTTCCTCTGCAATACAAGTCTGTGTGGAGAAGCTTCTGCTGAGGCTTGTGACTGTTACTCAGCTCTGCAAGCATAGAGCACAGGAGTGGAAGTGCATGAAGCAACATTTTTACTAAAAGAAAAATTTATTTTGAGGCATTTTCAAGTAAATATCAGTCACAAATCATACGAAGTGTGGGGGGGGTTTATAATATTATAAAGACTATAATTTGCGGCATATAAAAGTAATTGGTTGTTAGGTGGTTATGACACAGCTGTAAAACCTGGGTTAAAATGTTTGAGTACATCTGATCTGTGGTAGTTGACGTTCTTTGTTTTACACTAGGCACTTCAACAGTGGTCTGCAAGCCCATAGTGATTGAGAAGCAGCTCTACGTCATAGTAGCCCAGCTGTTTGGGGGCTCTCACATTTACAAAAGAGACATCTTCGCCAACAAATTTATCAAGATCCAAGACATTGAGGTCATCAAGATTCGGAAACCCAATGATATTGAGACATTCAGGATAGATGACAACTGGTATTTTGTGGTTGCAGATAGCTCAAAGGCTGGTTGTACAACCATCTACAAATGGAATGGCAATGGATTTTATTCCCACCAATCTGTACACATGTGGTATAGAGACACTGATGTGGAGTATGTTGAGATTGCCAACAAGCCCCATCTGATCCTGTCTAGTAGCTCCCAGCGTCCAATTATTTACCAGTGGAACAAGAAGTACAACAACTTCTCAAAGCACGCCGAAATTCCAGATACAGAGGACGTCTATGCCGTCAAACACTTTTCCACAAAGGATGATGTCTACCTTTGTCTTACAAGGTTCATTGGAGATTCAAGGGTTATCAAATGGGAAGGGGGATCTGTGATTACTGACATCCAAAGGATGCCCTCGCGTGGATCTATGGTTTTCCAGCCTTTACAAATTGGCGACCATAAATATGCTATTTTGGGCAGTGATTATTCCTTCACCCAAGTCTTCCACTGGGATGCAGAGAAAGGGAAGTTTTCCAAATTCCAAGAGCTGAATATCCAAGCCCCAAGGTCCTTCACGCATGTGTCCATAGACAAACACGATTTCCTGTTTGCTTCAAGTTTTAAGGGAGCCACACAAATATACGAACATGTAATCATCGACTTGAGCGCATGACCTTCCGTTTCCAGTGACACAAGAGACTTAAGGATGGTATGAACTAAATGCATGATAACGCTATCTTTTGACAAACATCTGGATGACCGGCTTTAGAAGCTGGGAGTTCCAGACCAGGAGCATTGCTTGTTTCTCGTTCATTAATTCGTCATGTATAGTGATTTTAAGAGTTGTACTTTTTCTAAAAAAAAAAAAAAAAAACCGAAAACCTTGATAGTTGACTGGTCTTTGCATTAACAGTTTGTACATATTTGTGCATATCGCATTTGTCCATCGGAAGAGAGATCTATGAATAATGTTACTTTTTCCATTTATTATTTATTCACCTGAAAACTGCCAAATAAAATGTTTACATTTTCTGTCTTCCATGTTACAAACATATTCATTAAAGGGATTCTATTCTGTAAGACTTGGCTTTCTGATTATGCCTGGCCTAGGTGGAAGGAAGGGATATAGTAGAGTTAAATGGATTTCCACCAAATGTAATTCGCTGGACAAGGATAAGGCAAGTACAAGAAAAGCCGCCGTGGGGGTTTTAAAGCCCAGGTTAGCTTTGATGCCCCCTTCCCAACAGTACATACTAACCTTTCCTTCTATTTCCTGCTGCTCTGTTCAGCTGGGAGGGAAGAAAATACCTGCCATGGTGGGACATGACCTAAGCAGACTATACACACGCAGAGATTTACGGATGGTTCTTGATGAAATGGCAGAAATTCGCTGCGTGGGTGTCGCTGTCACCACCCTTTCACCTGGCATCCATTGATCAGCTAATTGAAGGAGCAGGTCGGAAAATTCTTGCCGAACAGCTGCAGGCTCTATTCAGTTATTCTGACAGAGGCCGGCGGCCACAATAGAAACAGCAGGGCATTCCTCAACCAAATGTAGGAATCTGTTCTGTTTTTTTTCGTTCAGCCCAAAGATTGAGCAAAAAAAAAATAGAACAGTATATACTCGGCTTTACTCCCTTTTCTCTTATGTAATGGTGCCACTGCTTGCTAATTGGCCCCGCACTGTCGCATTGGGGCGGGTAGATTGTCCTCATTCCTGCGTGTAATCTTTGACTACAGCATCCCAAAGTTACACAAGGCATCCTCTCTTAGAAGATGGCGACTGAGTGGATTGGCGAGGGAGCAAAAAAAAAGGTGAGCATGTGCTGCTAAGGAAAGGGGGAAAGTAAGTGAACTCGGTTTGCTTTAAGTTATCCTTAAAGTGATATTAATTCTCACGGTTTTTTTAATAAAATCAATGCAGCTACTGTATATGAGACTTATGTAATCTATGTGTGTTTCTTTATTCTGTGCAGCCATTTCTTAACAATCTTCTTTCTTCTTAGTGCTGGCCAGGACTTCCGTTCTGTGGGTGACTCTATTCTCTTGCTGTGTCTGATGTCTCCCTCCCTGCGTTTAGATGCACAGGCAGCCCCATGTCTGGAGGAACACCTCCATCCGATCTCCCTTTTCATCACTGGACGTCGTGATTGATGCAGATTTCTTTGCTAGATATCATGATTGACCCGGATTTCATCAAGTGACGTTATGATTGATGCAGATTTCATACTCTGGGCGCCATTTATTTCAATGACACCCCAAATGCACCTCCTGCCCGCAATGCGCTCAACTGCGCCGCAATGAGCAGTGAAACAATACCCTGCATTGTGGTGCAGTGCTTTAAAAAAAAAAGTGTATGCACTACTTTTTACAACCGCAACACATGGAATTGCGTTACTCTGCATTACGGCACGTAGGGATGCACCGATACTGTTTTTTCGGAATCGAGTACATGTTTATTTCAGTACTCGCCTAGTACCGATACCGGTACTTCCCGTAGCATGGAGTCGGCTTCTTGGGCAATCAGGAATCCGGGCAGCATGTAATTACCCGCTGCCCAGCTTCTTGATTGCCCGGGAAGCTGGCTCCATGCTGTTTGGTCGACTCCATGCGGCTTCCCTGCCGCATTGAGCCGGCTGTTTGCCCTGTTTACATTAGCAGGACCTTTAAAGGAGAACTATGAGGTGAGTGCTTTTCACTCACCTCATAGTTCTAGCCGACCTGTGACAATGAGACTGTCACAGGACGGCTCAGTAGATCGCGAAGTGAGCGAACACATACTGGCGTTCGCTCACCTCTCGATCCTGTCACAGCCCTCTGCCGTGACAGGGGCTGGGCTGGATTCCTCCCTCCCCGCTCCGATCCTCCAGCGCTGACTGGCGGAACGGACGGGGGAGGGGGCGGGTAGAGCTGGCTCTGCCTCTAGGTAGGCAGAGCCAGCTGTCACTCACGCAGCTGGGCCGATCCAGACATAATTGTCGGGATCCGCATCAGCTGCGGCGTCTCAGTATAACGCGAATTGTAGCTCGCGGTATACTGAGCTTATTACTGAGTTTGTGTCCTTCCGTTACCCTAAGGAGAACTATGGGTAAAAGCCCTAACCCCATAGTTCTCCTTTAAGTATGGTGTGTGTGTATATATATATATAATGGCTAACCCCCACCCAAAAAAATGGTGTGGGGTGCCCCAAAAAATCCATTACCAAGCCCTTTGAGCCTGGTATAAATGTTTTACGTAAACTCCACCCCAAACAAATGCATGGGGTCCCCCCAAATTTCATACCAGGCCCTTCAAGTCTGATATTTTTTATTGTAATGAGAAAGCCCAGCAAAAAAAATGGCGTGGAGTCCCCCCCAAAATCCATTACAAGACCTTTTTCTGGGCATGCTGCCTGGCATGCTGCATGCACCCCTCCCCATACCGTTCCAGGCTACATGCCCTCAACATTGGGGGCAGGTACCTTGCCAGGAAGGACAAGGGCCTCATCCCCACATCAGGTGCCCAAGAGAATGTGGGTGTCTGTGAGGGGGAACCCCTTTATAATATCAGCTATCTGGCCCACCCCCCTACAGGAATGAGTAGATTGACTCTGACAAAGAGTAAATTGCAAATAAATCCCCAACACCATTTAAAAAAATAATTTTATGGAAATGAATGGTGCTCAGCGGTGACGTCTGCATCAATCACGACATCCAGTGATGACATCCACATCAATCCTGACGTCCAGCAATAAAACACGCGTCACTCACGATGTGCAGCAATGAAATCTGTATCAATCACGATGCCCAGCGATAAAATCCACGTCAATCACAGCGTCCAGAGATTAAATCTGTATCAATCACGATGTTCAGGGATGAAATGTGCTTTAATGACAACTTCCTGCAAAGTAACCTATGTGAACCATTAGTCCATGAGTCCATTCAAAAAAATAACACGTTGATTGGCGCACATATGGATAAAATACAATGCAAGTGAACTATTAGCAAGAAAGTACAATTGGAAAGGAAGGTTTTAAAAAAAAAATTTTTTAAGTCTATCAAAAAAATAAATAAACGCCTAAAACTTTTATTTAATATCACTTGTGTCAGTGTGTCATGTTCAGACAATCGCATAGCAACAGACTGGTATGTCAGGCACCAGAGCCTGTTACACATTCCCAGCATAGGTATACCTCTGAAAAGTGTCTTAGGCCTTGTTCACACCAAGCACGGAGCAGATACAGACCAGAGCAGGTGCAGACCGGATCAAAACTGCGTCCAATGTATTTCTATGGTATTTTGACCTCCAGTTCACATCGCAGCGTGCAGATCCAGAGCAGGTGAAAAAACTGCAGCAAGCCCTATTTTACCTGCTCTGGAACGCATCAAAAACGCATGCAAGTGCCTGAAAGCCCATGTTAAACGTAAACTTTTTTTTTTTTTACCAAATCCGGCCCGGAACGCACAACCCACTGCACTGCGTGTGCAGAAACCTGACCGGATCTGCTCTGCATTTGGTGTGAACAAGGCCTTATGAATTACAATGGCCACTTCATTTGCATTTACCATTTTATTTCCTGGATCTGCGTGTGAAATACAGCTTTGTTCCAGGAAGAAAATCATATTACATAACAGTGAAACAAAGTCTATAGGTGCCCATACACCTTACGATTATCGAACGATTTTCGTATGCGATCGCCTTTTCGTCCGATAATCGTATGTGTGCATTGCAGTGTCCGACCGATAGTACTGTACAATCGTACGACTTTTGACGGTCAAGCATGTTTGAAAACTTTGCTAGATCGTACGATTTTCGTAAGGTTGCTGGCGTTTCCGTCTGCTCTGAGCCCTGCACTGGCCTGCTCGATGCTATGCTTCAGTCTGCTCCGAGCCCTGCACTGGCTTGCTCGATGCTATGCTTCAGTCTGCTCTGAGCCATGCACTGGCCTGCTCGCTGCTATGTGTCAGTCTGCTGCCAGCCCTGCACTGGCCTGCTCGATGCTATGCGTCAGTCTGCTCCGAGCCCTGCACTGGCCTGCTCGCTGCTATGCGTCAGTCTGCTCCCAGCCCTGCACTGGCCTGCTCGATGCTATGCGTCAGTCTGCTCCGAGCCCTGCACTGGCTTGCTCGATGCTATGCGTCAGTCTGCTCCGAGCCATGCACTGGCCTGCTCGATGCTATGCGTCAGTCTGCTCCGAGTCCTGCACTGGCCTGCTCCATGCTATGTATCAGTCTGCTCCGAGCCATGCACTGGCTTGCTCAATGCTATGTAACAGTCTGCTCGAAGCCCTGCACTGGCCTGCTCAATGCTATGTAACAGTCTGCTCGAAGCCCTGCACTGGCCTGCTCAATGCTATGTATCAGTCTGCTCCGAGCCCTGCACTGGCTTGCTCAATGCTATGCATCAGTCTGCTCCGAGCCATGCACTGTGCCAGTAGTGGCGGAGGGAGTGTGGAGGGGGTTCTGCCAGGCTCTTTTGGAGGCAGCTGAGGATGATATGCCCAGTAGGACCAAACTGCTGGTGTGCGCGATCCACCTGTGCCATCCTGAGAGCCGGGATCACCAGCAGTTACATGCTCTAAGTCTGTGCCCCCTGACAGACCCAAGCTGGAGCCCAAGGACAAGAGGGACACCCTGAGCAGCTGCTACAAGGAGAGCATATGCTTCTCTTTTAAGAATGGTCAGTGTAAGTGGCCAAAACTCTTCCAGATGCATCAGCTGATTAATAATGCTAAAAGAATTAAAGCACTCGCTGTCATTGTACTGTGCTGTATTCGTGTGAGGGGAGACAAGCAGGTTGTGTGAGGGGAGACAAGCAGGTTGTGTGAGGGGAGACAAGCAGGTTGTGTGAGGGGAGACAAGCAGGTCGTGTGAGGGG